GGCGAACCGGTACTTTCGCTGCCGAAAGCGTGGCGATTACGGGGTTGGTTTCCAGAAAAGACAATAATCTCGATAAATTCCCGAAAGTGAATTTGACCTCTACGCTAACGATCTTAGCGCTGACGAAGAGTGTGGCGAGCAGAGGGTGTGGCGGATTGGTTTTAGAGCGCTGCCGAAGAGTGTGGCGAGCTTAAAATTCATTTTCGTGAACGCGGCTGAATGATGAAGAAAGGAGGTAGGCGCGTTCGAATTAAACGAATCAGATTCCAGATCAAACAAGCAGTTATTTCTAATCAAGATCCTCTCCCCTTCCTCCAACAATTGCAACAACTAGAAAACGCACCTCCATTTAAACCTATTTCTGTCGATTTCGACGTTGATTATCCTAATTATAATCAAATAGATAAAACTGATCCTCGTTACCAAACGTATAAACTCAGATATCTTTTCGGTCCCGAATAATAATAATATCCTTCACACGACTTGTCCAAATTCCTGGTAAATTGCTTAAATGCATTGACCAAAAAACGGACGAACGATAACAATCAGAACGTGACAAAGTTAAGATTGTAAGGTAAAATCAACACTCTTTTTTTATAAATATTTATTCCCACTTCTCTTATAGAATAAAATCAACATTCTTTTTCTGTAAATTTTAACGCATTTAATAAATACGTTCTAATTGTGTTACTTTAACATGTTTTTTAAATTATTTTAATAATTTTAAATTTTAAATTTATTAATTTCAATTAACATAGCAGGTATATGTTAAATCTACACATGTATGTGTTGATTATTTTACACAAAAATTTTAACAAGGACCTTTTTTAATAAAACTACAAAAATTTTCCAACAACGTGATTATAACATTAAAGGAATTGTTTATTTTAGAAGTTTCAAAAAATTATTTGTAACTTTTAGATGATTGCACAAGAAATTGACGCGTGCGTCAGTAAAAGCATGTACATAGTTATAAACGTGTTACACGTGCAGGTTCTTATTTTAAAAAATTATTCAAAACTAAATACATAAAGTTAAAATATCATTAAAATATTAGTAAAAATATACATATATAATTATATTATATACAGGGTGACCAGTAATAATCGCCGAACCTCTTGTATGCAAGTAGAGTGAGTTAAACCGAGTAGAAAAGTCTTCTACCATTTTGCAAAATTCGCAATACTTTACTAAGAAATCAATTGAAAAAGATCGGCCAATCTTATATATACTCTAGTAGAAACGCGCGGCGAGAAGAGACGTACATACCATTCTCAAATATTTGCGAATTTCGCAAAATGATAGAAGACTTTTCTACTCGGTTTAACTCACTCTACTTGCATACAAGAAGTTCGGCGATTATTACCAAACATCCTCAGTCCTATTACTCGTGCCCGAACGTGGTGACTTATCTTCATATACATGTATTGCGCACGTGGATTACACACATTGTATATGGAACCTACAGTTTAACGCCGATTCCAAACGGCTATATTTTTTAGAAAAGTTCTCTTGGGGCAAGACATACTCTCTCAGTAGTTTGCCATTGCCTTCCGAGAGGAGAACGAGCGAATATAATTTTTATGCAACACGTGCATCGAAAGTGCCCCATTACGCACGCTACGCGTGCGTGATAGACCACTTTCATGGCACTTGCAACATAAAATAGAGAGTGTAAGCCGTGTGTAAAGATGAAAATTCCCGGGTGCGGAGTTTACGCACGAGCCGAAGGCGAGTACGGTAACCGCACCCGGGAATTTTCATCTTACCTCACTTGTTACACAAATAACTATTCTAGCTCTACCGGGAATCGAACCCGGGACCTTGGCTCAATAGACCAGTGCACTGTCTACTAACCACGCTCGTCCTCAGACAAAGTTACCAAACATCCTGTATGTATATTTTTACTATGTACCTACCTATATTTTTATATGTATA